TTCTTTTTCAACTACTGTAGGCTAAAGTTTTGTATTATCTTTAAAGACCTTTTGAATACACCAAAAGGAAGAAAGGTTCTAGAGGGGACCAGGGCATTGTTACTTGTTTTTATGGTAAGTGGCTGAGCATCAGTAGGCACAGTTTGAGACTAGGTTTCCTTGGCAGTCTCTTATTGTTCTTGGATGTTCAGACTCCCGGGGGCAGCATTCTCATGTAAGGGATTGCAGTGAGCTGCTGATAAATGATGCTTGACTTGCCGAGCTGTGCACACAGCATCTGAGAGAGACAAAGACTGTCTCTAACTCAGCCTAGGTACAGCTGCAGGAACCATTGTCCAGAATGTAGAGGAAGAACAGCATCAACCATCACCTTACAACCCTCCCAATTCTTGTGTCTGCAGCAGATGGCCTGCACTTGCCACTATTATTCCGATGGACTTTCATAAACAGATAGAACTCCTAGAGCCTGGCACATATAATTGCATGTCAATAATTGTTGATCCAATGTCATACATTAGAAGTTATATCAGAAGGGCCATCTCAGAATCCAAGAAGATTTTATTTATATCAGCTATATGAAAAGCCACAACAGAAGTTTTGCTTTATAGCAAAAATAAAGAGTTATGGGTCCATGGCTTTTTAAAATTTCTATTAGGACATTTTTTTAGGGCAATAATAGTTGAAGCTTCATGGGAAAGAATTTACAGTGCACTCTGCCTGTTTTACTATTCATTATTTAGTGAACATTGTAAAATCAATTTTGTTCAAGATATGGATGAAAATATAGAGCTTTTCAGGTCACCTCTGATTTAAAATGGATAAAGCAATTCATACACAAGTACATCATGCACAAGATCCAATACCTGAAAAACGGCTTAAGTATCAAAGTTTCCCTGTCAAAGGATGAAGGACAGAGCCACCTGGAGTTATTATGTTATTGTCTCTATTTTTGTATATTTTGAAATCTTCTAAAATAAAAACATTATCAAAAAAGCAAGGAAAAATGTGCCCCTTTTGGTGACGGGTCCCCTGCAGGTGTGTGGCTTTGTGACCTCGGAACTGAGGCTGGATTTCAGCCCGGACCTGTTCCCTCAGCTCAGAGAAGTGGCTGTGCAATGCACAGAAGGCCCAGTTGAACTTTGCAACTGTACAAAAGGGTGAGAAGATTCCTGAAAGCTGAAGATATCTTGGGAGAAAGTGAGGATTGGCCTGGGTCTTTAAGAGCATTTGGGACTTAAATGGAAAAGTACATCACAGACCACAACAAAAACCAACCAACCAACCAACAAACCCCATGGGATACTGTTTAAAAAAAAAAAAAAAAGGCTTGCTTTTTCCTCTGTTCTCATACCACCATCAACACAGACTTCTGACATCAGATGTGTGGGGATTTCTCCCCACAGCAAGTGAGTGATGGATTCGGAGCAGACACCAGTAGGTGTCCTCTAGTTGAATTCAGTTCTTTTTCTTTTTTTCTTTTTTTTTTTTATACCAGGGATTGAACCCAGGGAGGCTTAACCACTGAGCCACATCCCCAGCCCTGTTTATTTATTTATTTATTATTTATTTATTTGTTTATTTAGAGACAGGGTCTTACTAAGTTGCTTAGGGCCTCACTAAGTTGCTGAGGCTGGCTATGAACTTGAGATCCTTCTACTTCAACCTCCCAAACTGCTATGATTATAGGTTTATGCCACTGTGTCCAGCCCCAATTCAGTTCTGACACTACTTTTTGAGGGCTCAATCCCCAAAACTGCCCCTAAGATTGCTTCTGATGTCAGTCTCAGTCCTTAGGTTGTTTACCTGTGTTTCTGTCAGACTGGCTCTAAATAGGGGTTCACACAACTCCCTCCTTAGTTTTGATTAATTTTGACATATGAGAGAGAGGCATGGAGCCCGTCTCCCTCTCTGGGTGTGCCGCCCTCCAGATCCGCTGTGTATTCTGTTATCCAGAACCCCTCTGACCCCTTTAGGTTTTTCTTTCTGGGGGCTTCCTTGCATGGACATGGTTGCTAACAGCCTGGTGAGGAACCCAGCAAGGCCTGTCCTCTTCGGTATTTCTCTTGACGGCATTCCTGTGCAGCATTCCTCCCTCAGAGTATGGGGCAGGACCCTCCTGAAATTAGGGGGCTCTTAGACCCTCCTATAAGACAAGGTAGGTTGAAGAATTCCTTTAAGGCCAGTCCAAAGGAATAGATGGAATGGAGGGAATATTAGGGCTTCTACAACCTGCCTTGCAAAAGAGAAATTCTAGTTTCCATGGCCTGTGTTGGGAAGAATTCATGAGCCAGGAAACAGGGACGAAGACCAACTCTGTACTTTACAATATTATGGATGAGCCAGCAAAGATGGATACAGAGAGTAGATTTGTTGTAGGGGACAGATGAGGCAGGGCACCGAAGATATCAGGAAACACTTTTATTTGACTACAGCCAGGTTCGGAGGGTACAGCTTTCACTGTAATCAATTAATCCCCGGAACCCCGAGTTCAGGTAGCTTCAGAACTTTATACCCAGGGAGAAAGGGGAGGGAGGCTCAGAAGTTCACAGTCTGCAGAAGATCACATAAAAGCAGCTTTTTCTTTCATTGTTCTGGGAAAGTTAATCCTTCAAAGACAGCACCTGATAAGGGGAGAGCTTCTTCTCCCCTTTCTTTCCTCCCCCTGCCAGGTATTACCTTGGAGCCCAATTGGTAACTTACCTTAGAAATGTAGACTTCTCTGTGAAGCCCAGCTCAAGGCCAGAGGCCTTGTTAAAGGATCTGTCTTTTTTTTTTTTTAAACAACATTTTACATTTGCAAACACACTTTTACAAACTACTAAACTGTATAAGTGTTTGTGAAAAACTAGAAAAAGGGGTGTTCAGCACCTGGAGAGCTGATCTCTTCCAAGACAGTGGCCAAGTAAAATAGAGCAACAGAAAAATAGGAAGTTTGACTCTATTGAACTCTTTTGTAGAGACTCTTTTGCTGATAGTCCTAAAATCAATTATGGTGAAGATTCTGGAGAAGCTTAATTAAGATTTTCTGTGGAGGAGGGGGTGCCACTACAGATTCTATAAGAGGAGGAGGATCCCTTGGAGGGAGTATCGCAGCATAAGAAAGCAGACCTGCACAGAGACAGGCTTAGATGGCTGAGCTGTAAAGTGTGACTCCTAGTTTATGATCTGCCAAACAAGACGGGGCAGTGGTTGGGCCGCGGGCTTTGGGCCTAGACTTCATTTAAATCATGGTTTCGCCATCGATGAGACTGTACATTTTCTCATCTTCACTGAGCCTTGGTTTTCTGCTTCATAAAAGGAGATGAAATGATACTCATCTCCTAGGTGTGCCGTTGGACTGGGTTTAAAACTGCCTAAAAAAACGCTGAGCGCGGGGCCTGATATTTCCTAAGTGTTCATTGGGCATCAGCCACTGTGCTCAGAAGTTTTTAGACAGAACAGAGGATAAAAGTGATATTTTAGGAAAATGAATCAGACAGCAATGTGCAGGATGTTCCAGAAAGAAAGAAAGGGGCAAGGAAGTCAGTGCAAAGCCGCTGTAGCCATCTGCACTCAAAAAAAAGGACACAGGAAATAGCAACAAAGAAGCAGGTAGGAGAAGCTTCCTGAGACAAGAGTCAGAGGACTGGAAAATTGGCGGGTGAGCGTCAGGAGGCAGAGAGGGCCGTGAGCAGATCTCCAGCCTCTGCTGCGGAAATACGCCTCCACAGCTTTTGGCAGCTGACCCTGAAGGGCTGACAACTTTGACATTTTGTTACCAGTTAAAGAAATACTGAGCTCAGGACTATTAGATACCACCCTTTTGTTTTACCAGATATTGGGAAATCCCCCAAATTAGACCTAAGATTTCATTATAAAATAAAATCCATGATAGACACCTCCAATATGCTAGAAGCCACTGGTTAATCCTATAATGCCCACCCACCCCCAATTATTTTTTTAATATCCAGAAGGTTCTTCAGATTAAAATCTGAGATAAGGGCCTCTTCTTTGGGGTAAGGCCTCTTCTTACAAGAGAACTCTCTCAGCTCATGTGTCATGTGTAAATCTAGTTCTTATAACCAAAATTAATAAATGAGGAAGCTATCAAAGTCCTTGACTGAGCTCAGCAACTTTTTTTTGTATGGGGAGAAAGAGATTTAGTTAATTTTAAGAAATGATATCTCTAAGACTGGATTTAGTACTTATTTGTCAGCCAACCTACCTAGGAATTCACTGCCACTTGAAAAAACATCATATGACTCACCTATACCACTCCTCAGTATTTGTACTAGAGAATTAAAGTCCTCATATACAGTGATACAGGCATACCCATGTTGATAGTAGCACAGTTCACAAACTTTGAAACCAGACCGGGTGCCCATCAACAGATAAGTGAATAAAGAAAATGTGGCATATATACACAATGCTGTTTTATTTAGCCATAAAGAAAATTGAAATTAGGTCATTTACAGGAAAACGGGTGGAACTAGAGACCCATCATATAAAGTGAAATAAGTCCAACTCAGAAAGTTAAGGGTTAGATGTTTTCTGTCACTTGAAGAAGTTAGAGAGGAAAAAGGGGATGTGGGGAAGGTGGTGGAAGATCTCATGAAAATCAGAGGGAGATCAATAGAGGAAAGGGATCAAGTGGTGGGAGGTGGGGCAGCAGGGGACAGTGCTGGGGGAGTGATTGTGGCCATATTGTGTGCATCAACAAATATATAACAACAAATCCTATCAATATATATAACTATATATAACATAGTTTATATAATTTAATATATATATATATAATTTTAAAATTGCAAGAAACAAACAACAACAACAACAAAAAACAAGTCAAAAGCCATTTTAGCTACATCACCTTCTGTAAAAAATCATTTTTGCTTTTGGGCAAATTTTTTTCCAGGAATTAAGTCCAGTTCCAGGTGGTTTGGCTGTTCAAGACAGCATGGCAGAGTCCAGTTCTGAGTCCCTGCTGCCTCACCCCAATTTGTTTCTCCCTCTCTGCTTTGCAGATACTTGCCTGAGATCATGAATGACGGCTTGACCAACCAGATCAATAACCCTGAGGTGGATGTGGACATCACACGGCCAGACACCTTCATCAGACAGCAGATCATGGCTCTGCGCGTGATGACCAACAAATTGAAGAATGCCTACAATGGCAATGACGTCAACTTCCAGGACACCAGTAAGGAAATCTTTACCAGAACCAGCCACTTCCAGAGTGAAAAGCAGTCATAGCAGATGACCCCATCGTTTTTCTTTAAGAACAATGTGCACATATAATGGTGTCTCCTTCTTCCCCTCAGGCTGTCCAATCCTCAAAACTTGGGATGATACCAAAAATCACAACTGACCTTAATAGTTTCAGTAGGCACATGCAGCCATTCCAAAGGGAAAACCGAGTTTCTGAGTTTCATCTACCAGTTGATCCATTAGTGATAAAATAGCAAAGTCATGTTCTTACTTTCTCCTCTCTACATCTTCATTTACAGCTGCCCCAAACTCCCACCCCCGGTCTCACCACTCGTAAATTGGCATCCTGAACGCAGACAGATGGTCCTGACATACGACAGTTCTACTTATGATTCTTTGAGTTTATTGTGGTGCGAAAGCCATACACATTCATGTTGAAACTGTCCTTCAAATTTTGCATTTGGATCTTTTTCCAGATTAGCACTATACAGTACGATGTTCTCACCACGCTGGGCAGAGACAGCAAGCTGCAGCTCCCAGTCAGCCAGATCACAAAGGGAAACAGCTGACCCTGTAGAATGCTTGCTGTTAAGTTAGCACGTCAGGCAGGTTACCGTGTGCTCAGTGCATTTCTGACTTATGAATATTTTCAACTCAATAATGGGTTTGTGGGGACGTGACTTCATCCTAAGTTGAGAAGCAGCTATACCTCTTGAGTCTTAGGATTCCCCTTCTATCGAATGGGAAGCACCTCTGCCTAAGGAGCTGTTGGGAAGCTCCCTCAAGGTGATTTATAAGGAGCTAAGACAGTGCCTGGTGGGTAGCGAGGGAGTTCAACTGCATTAATTTCCCGTCTTTCAAATTGTGCACATACACACAAACCACAGGTGCTGGCATCTGAAATACTGAGAGGAATCAAAAAAAAAATGCTGGTGCAATATTATACATGACTATTTTATTAAGGATCACAAAAGCATTAGAAGTGATTTGAAGGACTAGCAAGTGAACATGAACATGAAACTAACTATATTTGTGTTTTGTCTAAGTGGATTCAAAAGGCATCACTACAAAGGCAGATATTTTCTTTGGCTTTTTGTTTTTTTGTTGTGTTGGTTTCCTCTTAAGTGTGAACCCTTACAAAGAGAGTTCCTGGGAAAAGAATCCTGGAGCTAAGATGTGAAGTTGCCAGTGATTCTGTAATTTGGTCACTGAAGCAAAAGACAATGCCTGTGTGCTTGAATTAATGAGACAGAAAGAAGCAAGTTACACAGATGGAAGACATTAAGTCACCTAAGTCTTTGCCACCATCCTACCGAGCCATCCCCTGAAGAAAATTTTAAGTGCATTATTCCATTTTAAAGAAGTCAAAAATAATTTTCGAAGCCCAGGATAATTATCATCTGATGGACATCATTGCTGTAGACGTTTCTAGAATCATCCCATTATCCTCTCTCTTCCTAACTAAACCTTTCCCTTCCTCTTCAGAAGAGAATGTTAGACCCAGTTTTAGGCTTTGTTGCTTCTGCCTTGCTCATTACTTAGCCACATTTTCCTCATTTTATCCATTCTGTCTCTTCCATGTAATAAAATGCTTTCTTACCTGCAGAGTAACTGTTGGAATGAATAATTCAAGATTCATAAGAATTAGCCGATGTTGACCTTATTGCTTCTCTCTCCTTACAGAGGAGAGAGAACTTAAAGAGGTTACGTGCATGTCAATCTGCAAAGCTCAGGAAATGGCCAGGAGGCAGGGACCTTGCTCCATCTCCTTTCAAAAGAAGATAAAAATCAACAGCAGATTCTGCAATCTCTGTAATGTTTAGAATAACCAATAAAAAAAAAGAAAAAGAAAAAGAAAGAGAGCATCCCTCAGCTCTAACCCAAGCACCAAATTTGGCCTCTCTTTTAGAATACTGCCTGTGATATAAAACCTTTCACATCTCACAGCCATCATCACCCATATTGCTTGTGACATTTTTTAAGTTGCCCATCCCTTGTCCTAAAACCATGTTTGTTATTCCTTTCAGAAAGAGATGGGACCATTATTTTTCCCAACTGGAACCTCTTGTCATTATTTGCTTCTCACATTTTTAATATTCCAAGTCACTCTAATAATATCTTTGTAAAGGTTATATTACTTCTTGTTCATGATACCTACATTTAGAACAAGTCCCTTCACAATTCTGGTGTCTCTGAATTTAATTAATGGATATCACCCGCCCCTTTTTAACGTCCATTAAAGATAAAGCAGAGAAAAATGTTAAGAACATCGTATATGTATTCAAGTGATCTTATCTGATATTTAGATGTCCCACTTGAAAAACAATAACACAGTGCTGAGTTTTGTCTTTCTCACGCTAGGGCCCATTAGAAGAGTCCACTCTACTATCATGGCTTCACTTAAGTAGCATCAGTAGCCAAGATGGCACCAATCCCAGCTCAAGGCCCATCAGCATCTCAGACCAACAGGGAGGAGCTTAGATCATTGACTAAGGAGGAACGACAAACAAAGCTTAGTTTCCTGAATGCCTTCCGAGAATGTTTTCTCACTTATTCCTCATGATGATTTTGTAAAATAGACATTTTTTACAGGTGAGAAAATGTAGCCTCAGCAAAGTTATTCAGCTTGCCCTACTCCATTTAAATTAGTAATGACATCTTAAATTTTGCTGTAGGAACCATAGTTTTTCTATCAGGTGTCACTGACAGTGGTGGGCTGGGTGCTCTGTTGTACTGTACAGAGTCGTCTTCACATACACTCTGCAAGGCACCTGCTATCACCCACGTGGGTCAAGATAAGGAAACTGAGTCAACTGCTAGAGGCACATTTCCTTATTCAACAAGTATCTACCAACCACCTGCTATATGCCAGGAGCCATGAAAATTCAGGAGTGAACAATATCTACATTCTACACATTCTCAAGAGGAAATCAACAGTAAACGACTGAACAGACAAATAAATAATACAATCCCAGGTAGAGATAAGTACCTTCACAAAGCTGACACAGTAGTGGGAGATTGGTTTCAGCCCCCCTCTCCTGACACCAAAATCCACAGATGCTCAGGTCTCCTATATTAGTATTTACATGCAAATAATAAGCCATAAAATGGCTTATCATTTGCATGTAACCTCCTATATGCTTTAAATCACCTCTAAATCACCTCTAACACCTGTACAATGTAAGTGCTATGGAAACCGTTATTATACTGTATTGTTTAGGGAATCGTGACAAGAAAAAAATGCCTGTTCATGCTCAGTACAACACAACCATCATAGGACTAACCACAGAGTGCCCAGTGCTGGGAGAGACTGAGGGTCTGAAATGGCAGGGGCCCCCAACAGGGACTTCTGACACTTCATTTCATTTAGGTGGATTCAACTAGGTATACAGCAAATTCAAGTTTTGCTCTTTTTTAAAAAAATTTAAAAGCCAAGGAAATTTATTTCTCACAATTCTGCAGCCTGGGAAATCTCAGGTCAAGGGCCAGGGTTTGGAGTCCAGGGCAAGTCCTGTCTCTGCTTCCCAGATGGCACCTTGTTACTGTGCCCTCCAGAGAATGACCTCTGGCCACGTGTGGCAGGAGGACAGAAGGGAGGGAGGCGGCTCCCTTGTACTTCCTATATGAGGTCATTCATCATCTCCAAGTTCTGCTTCTCAGGACTTTCTGGAATTATTCTTGATCCGCAGTTGGTTGACAGCAGAGATTCAGAACCCTGATACAGAGAACTGACTGTGACCGATGGAAGCCAGTCTGGGGCCATATCTGAGAGACAAGGTTTATCATAAAGAAGGAACCAAGCAGTCAGGCCTGGGAATAGAGCAGGCCTAGAGGCATGGAGGGCAGAGGGGAAGACGCCCCCCCAGGGACAACAGGTCGTGTGGGCGCCTGAGCTCTGGTTTCAAGCAGGGAACAACGCCAAACTTTCTCCGTCAAGGACCAGATAGTAGATATGCTGTTACAACTTTGAGATCTATCCAGTGCTGTCACAACTACTCGACTTTGCCCTATGACAGTGCCAACTGGAGATAACCCAGATGTGAGGCCGCGGTCCCATCCAACTTCACAAACAGACACTGAAGTCTGAATTTCACATGGAGCCTTCTTACATGTCACAAAACATTACTCTTGGCTTTTTTTTCCCAAGCTCTTAAGATTATAAAAACTGCTCTTAGGTGATGGGCCCTAGAGAAACAGGCAACAGGTCGTAGCTGGTCAAGCCCTGGTGTAGAGCGAGGTGCTGGGTAAGAAAGGGCCCATCCTTGCCCTTGGAGGAGAACATGAATGGGGAAAAATAGCTAAAAGCAACCATAAGGTCTCCCTTCCACAGCCCTTCACTGTGGCTCCTCCGATTTCCTACTCGCATGGTTGTTTTCCTTCTCTGTGCTTTCCTTTAAAATTCTCAGGTGGCTGAAGCAGGAGGATCACAGGTTCAAAGCCAGCCTCAGCAACTTCGCAAGGCCCTAAGACCCTATCTCTAATAAAATATAAAAAGGGGTGGCGGGGCTGAGTACAGTCGCGCACACCTGTAATCCCATGGGCTCCAGAGGCTGAGGCAGGAGGATCGTGAGTTTAAAACCGGCCTCGGCAAAAGTGAGGCGCTAAGCAACTCAGTGAGACCCTGTATTTAAATAAAATATGAAATCGGGCTGTGGATGTGACTCAGTGATCCAGTGTCCCTCAGTTCAATCTCTGGTACACCCACCTGCCCCCCACAAAAAAAAAAATGGCTGAGGATGTGGCTCAGTGTTAAGTGCCCCGGGTTCAATTCCCCATATCAAAAATAAAACAAAAAAAAAAGTGTCCTTTTCAAAATTTCTTTAAAGGCATGGTATCTGCTGAGAACACCAGCTCAGAGCACAGAGTGAAATTTCTTAATGTAATTTAAATATTGGCCAGAGAAAGAAATATCTTTCTGATGCCAAACATGGTAGAGATGACTTGTAACTCGGGATATCAATTAATGTTGTGTTTCAGCCACCTGTTTGCACACAGTCCACCCGTCCATCATAAAGCTGCCCGCCCACCTGCACCATGGGGGACCCTTGGGTGGGACAGTTCCTGCCTACCGTGCCCGGATCTGCTGTGTTCTTTGCCTCCATTTCTTCCTGGAGTGTGGCCTAACTTTCTTTTTCAATCTTTCCACACCAGGTGACGAATCCAGCGGCTCAGGGAGTGGCAGTGGGTGCATGGATGATGTGTGTCCCACAGAGTTTGAGTTTGTCACCACGGAGGCCCCTGCAGTTGACCCCGACAGGAGAGAAGAGGACTCTTCTGCTGCCGGGCTTGGCCACTCCCTGCTGTCATGGTCCCTGGTCTGCATGGTGTTGGCACTGCAGAGACTGTGCAGATAATCCTGGGTTTTGGTCAGACGAAACTGCATTTTAGCTATCTGAGTGGCCAACTCCCTTCCTTTCTTACACTCTTGGACAATGGACTATACCACAAAAACTTACCGTTTTCTATGAGAAGAGAGCAGTACTGAGATCTGCCTCCCTTTTTGTTTTCCCAAAGAGTACCGGGTGCCAGATGAACCGCTTCCTCTTTTCAGCTATCTGTGGGGACTTTGTTTATTCCAGAGAGAATTCTTACTCCAATCTTTCGTACCAGGAGATTTTCTTACCTTCATTTGCTTTTATGCTGCAGAAGTAAAGAAGTCTCACGTTGTGAGTTTTTTCTCCCCCCCTCCCCATTTAAAAAATTAAAAGGTAGGAAGAAAATAATTTTCCTTTTAAAATCAGGCCAAACCCCAAGACAACTGCATTTTCAACAAAGAAGCAACAAAAGAGCAAAATAAAGGAACTGCAATGCTCTAGGTTCTGCATTGACAGCCAACTCCCAGGGTAAGCTTTTCTGTGACAATTCAGGTTTACAAAATGCTTATGGGAAGAAAGCTTGAAATTTTTTTAAAATGTAGTAAAATTACACTGTTGTCTTGGAGGTGCCATCTTGCACTCTAACCACAAATACCAAATTGATTTGGAGGTACTGATAATCAATTTAGAATTCCATCTTTAATATGAGAGCAAAACTTACTCCAACTCAGCACCTCTCTCTCAACCTGCCCAACGTCAACGTCAGTAATGGCTCCATTTTCCTTAATTGTCTTAATGTCTGTCCATTGTATCCAATTGGCACAGATTTCTTCTTCATCTTCAGTTACTAGTGTACACCCCCATCAAATCATCCCCCCATCCAACATCTCAATTGAATATCATCTTCAGTGATACAATCTCTGCTTTTGCCACAGGTTTGACATGAATTTAGATGTTTCTGCCCTGTGTTCATTACCCTCCTAAAATAGGAGTTTGTTGGTTTTTTTTTTTTTTGGTTTTTGTTTTACCGAGTTGATAAACAGTTAGATCCATAGATAAGTTTTCCTGTTTGACTATTTGCTTTGTGTCAATTGGTTTCTGCATCACAAGGGCATTCTCCTACAAAATAACTCACAACAACAAAAAATTTCAAGACAAAAAAAAAGAAACTATATATATAGTATGGACATGGAGATTTCTTTCACTTTTTTAGTCTTAGTATGATCATCTATTTTTATATCTATATATATATATAAATCACAGATTTTAACTTCTTAATTCCAAGCTCAGGGTTGACACACCTTTGTAAAAAAAAAAAAAAAAATGTTTTGTCAACCAGCTCTTCCTGTTTTGTGCTGCTCAGAGAAGGGATCCCTCAATGACCTGTGAGCACCAAGAATCAAGGAAGAGAACTTTTTACGTATCTAACTGTCCATCTCTTAAAAGTTTGCCAGGGCACATCCTTTCTGCGTGAGCCTGCTTTGTCCCCATTGCTCCAGACCTGTCCTGAGCTCATGGGACAAGCCATGGGTGTGCAGGACTTTGCTGGTAAGGGAAACTGTATGTGTAAAGAATGTTATTCACGAAAAAAGGAGAAAAAAAAAGCGCAACACACACACACAAAAAAAAAAACATTGCTTTCATGTGCAACACCTTCGGCCTCAGATTCCTGCTTGGCACTTGGATAAATGACCTACGCTCAGGAGACCGGTTTAGAGTCTCAGCTTGCCCTGTCTGCCAAGTAAGCCAAAGCCAGGCCCCATGCTCCTCCTGGCAGAGAGAAGCAAAACAAACCAAACTGGGGCTTTCTGAGTACACTTGGCTGTCCATGTGTTTCTTGATTTTTTACAATGCATCCAGAGTTAGGAAAAGTAATATGTCAGGACCCCATAGTATGCCAGTCGCATTTTAACTAACTCATTGACAGTATTGACACGTAAATGGTATTTTTCGATCTCTGTTCTCATCAAACTTAAAATTAGTTATTGATTTAGTCATCACGTTTAAGTAGAACACATGCGGCACAACGGTATTAAGTATATTTGAGCACTTTTGCAAAACAGAAAGTATTTCCAAGCTTCTATTGCCACTAACGAAATATGAAATGTAGGAATCAGAGAGACTTTGTGGTATCTTTCCTTTAAATCTCGATGAAATTAGCGCCAGGTCTAATTCAGCATTACACACTTCTAGAAATCCATCCATTTCACTGCCAACCTTCAGCTTCCTGTCACCAGTTACACATAACACATCTCTGAGAAGGACCAATTGCGTATGTTGCTCATTTCATTGTGTGTTCAGAAATCAGAACTGGTTTTCTCCAATAATTAAGGTGCAACACAAATTCAATCAACCTTGATTTTTCCAGAATATTTGAGTAATAACTTATTTTTATGGCTTTAAACTCCAACTCTTTTTCTAAAAATATTTCTGCATTCGCTTCTATAAAATAAATCAAGATGCTTTGTTTTTTTCCCTGTGCTTCCTCGCCCAACCAGTTTTGTGCATGTGTTTGAATACACGTTATATGAATGAATGTGAACCTATGTTCTATACGCACTAACCACACAGATAAATATATAAATGCCTGCTTCATTTGTTTCAACACCTTCATTATCAATATTATTCCTATAGATGAGATACAGTGATGCATATGAGCCAGGCAGAGAGCTGAAATGACTCTCAGTTAATAATGCCACAATACTAGTCACCCTGTATGAATGTGGTTAAAATGTGACAGAACTACACTTCCTGGTTTTGATCATCATGCTACTATGTCATATGCTTTTCAGAATAATTGACCATGAGAATTTTCTTCAGTCCCTAAGGAATCTAGTCTCATCTAGGTATCCCTGTTCAGTAAGTATTTTGAAATTCCCCCTCCCAAATTAATTTTTCTTGTTTCTGCACAGTGATAGGGGATGCAGTGATGCTCCATTATCTTTCATGGCCTGCCTTCCTTTGTTCTGATGTCCCCTCAATTCTGTAATCACATCATAACTTCTGTTATGAGTAGAGAGGAATAAGCTCACTGCAATCGGACACTAGAAATTTGTGGGTGATGCTCATAACTGCAAACACTTAGCTTATTGAAGTGCCTCTATTTACATGTTCTTTAGTTATAATATGTATTTTTCTAACAGAAATACACGTCTGTAACTGATGTATATTATACTTTGTATATGTTACAACAAAAGCTAAATGGAGGCTAAAGTCTTTAGCAGAGAAGAATGAATTGCAGATTTGCCTATGAGAGATCTGCTTGTGGTTCTGTATTGAAGGGCAGCGTGACAGTCTCCTGTCATTTTAATGAAGGTCAAGCTGGCACTTTGATTATAGCCATCACAGACTATTAGCACTAGAAATCTGACTCCCTTCTAGTGATTTACCCAGATGGATAAGTTACTCACATCATGTGCTTCCAATGTAAGGGATAGAAAATCCTATTTTCTCTACACTGAGAAACACTACTACTCATAAATAAGCAGTAGTAATTCAAAAAGTAACATTTGTTAAATTACATTGGAAATACTATTGGATGCAGAACCCTCATATTTAATTTACATCTCCTGCTGCAGACATTAGCCTACTGTCATTCTTTTGCCATTACATACATGTTTTGGCTATGGACCAAACACCAACTAAAGTCACCAACTAAAGTCCCCGAGGAGGAGGAGTAAAACAGCAAATTCTTGAGTTGTGATTCTTTTATTACTTCCTTGCAAGGCTAATTATCATGTGGTTTGATTAAAGGTAGAAATGTTCAAAAAAGCAAGTTTTGACTTATCCAAAGCTTGAAGAAATTCAAACTCATTTTCATTAACTTACAGTCATGAACAGATCTGATTTTAATTAAAAAGAAAAAAGCAGTTTAGCTTTGCCAACAGAAGAGGAGTAAAGGAGACTATAACTTATAAATTTGTAATGTGTTCCTCCTCGGTGGAGACATTAGCCAGTGTTTAGTCTTAGGCCAACTTAATACAAATAGCGTATTGATTTGTACGCATTCTAGAGACTTGCTATATCATGGTTTGCTACGGCACAGACTCAGCTTGGCATGGGAACATTTGGAGCGTCATTCAAAGTTGAGTAGTTACCGGAATCTTTGACATTGCCTTGCGAAGAGCTACTTCCATGAGAGAACACCCAAGGACAGCATAGTACTGAGGTCTCTGTGTGCATATACAGAATATATGTGCAGGATAAATGTGTGCACCAATCAAACCTAAAATTTTATGTGACTGTCGAATGATTATTATTTGGGTTAAGATTTTTCATTTCTGATTTGGATAGAAAATTGCTATTAATCTTGTATTAAAATAGTTTTAAAAAATCTACCCGCCCTCTTTTTGCATTTTTCTTAATTATTTTGCCTAAACTTATGCCTTGGTCTAAAATTCAGAGCTTTGGAATGTTTTTGTTTGGGACCTTCTTAGAAGTTTCAGTATTAAAAAACAAGACACATAGATTAAATCAGTGCCACTCACCAAACTATATTCTATATTTGAAATTAGAAACTTTCAGAACTTTGGAACATTCAGAGTTTTCCAAATGTGTTCGGGAAATTTCTAATTTCTCTTCTTCTGTATTGGTTTCTTCTTGAAGAAAAACTTCAATGGCTTAGAACTGATCTTAGTACTATATAAATGAGGAAAGAAAAATAAGCTTATATGTGAAAGGACTAACAATCTCCAAATTTAACAAATTGCATTGATTTTTGCATTTTGAAATGTTCCACACTCTCAGGCATGCTAAATATTGCATAACTTACTAAAGATTCATGTAACAACCATTTATTGAACTCCTCCTCTCTGACAGCCCTGCTCTGGTGCTATATCACTGGTTGCCAGAAGCCCCCAGTTGAAAATTATTCATCCCCTAATGCAGTTAACCATGATTATTACATATGCATCACTTATTTCTACATAAAGGAACCCATATAATTAAAGTTATCAAGAATGAGGCATTTACCTACAAAGAATACTGAAATTTAACTTCCATTGTTGCCATCTTGGTTTTTACCTAAAAATGTGATTTTTACAAGACAATGAAGGAACTTTAGGATAATTCCACTTACAAAATCAGAATATAGGGGCTGGGGTTGTGGCTCAGCAGTACAGTACTCACCTAGCACCTGTGAGGCACTGGTTTTGATCCTCAGCACCACATAAAAATAAATAAAATAAAGGTATTGTGTCCAACAACAACTAAATAAAAATATATATATATATAATTTTTAAAAATCAGAATATAGCAAATGTGATTTGAAAGTAAACTAATTTATTGGCAAGGAAATATATCCCAATGGATTTGAAAAAAAAAATAAGCCACAGTTCCTTTTTATCAGAGAATGACAATATTTTTTAATTTCCTCTTTGGATACATGGGTTGGGGTAATAGTTAAAATATATACACAAATAAGTGTATCCAAATGACACTGATTATAAAAATACCAATTTATAAAATAGGGGTGATTAGTGGTGGAGTATTGTTTTATATCTCCAGAGCTAAAGACATAGCCACAAGTTCAAGTGTATTTGAACAGAATTCACAATTAATGTGGTGCCAGTCCATTTCCATTACACAACACATTTGCCTGCTGGGAGAAAATGTGGCGGAATATATGTTGTCTGCTCGTAAATGGGACGCAGTGAAGCCAGGAGGAATGAGACGCCTGCCTTTGTAGTCCACCTCGGGGGCTCATGCTCTGCACACCTTGAAGCAGAAGCAGAGCAAGAAAAGGGAAATGCTGTCCTCTGAGTGTTCACGTTTGGAGACAAAGAGTTCTATTTACAAAACAGTCGAGAATGCAGGATATTTACCTTGACTAATGTCCTCTCTCCTGGGAAAACAAGCACCCGTGGATTTTTGAAATTAAAAAAGTTAATCTGGGCAACTATGTTCTTTAAACAGACATGAACCATTATCCTAAGCCAGACACCAGGCACATTTCAGGGTGCCAAGGCAAGACACCCAGACCTCTGCTCCCTCACGACTTACTCCTAGTTGGCAGTAGCACAAGAGACAGCCCAGAGGTAACCCGTGAACAGGGGACTGGAAACGGGGCAGGGCCATGAGGGCATAAATCAAGAAGTGGGCAGATGAGGGGTGCAGCAGGGTCTCCTCAAGGGACGGCCTTTTAACTCTGACCTAATGATAGGAGACGGCCATGAGCAGACCTGGGGATAGGGATTTCCAGGCTGACGCCAAGGTCTCAGCCCAGGAATGATCTTCTGCACTTCAGTGGGTCTGGAGACCAGGCAGTGAGTTGCCCCCGGTGTGAGATGAATGAGCTCAACAGGCAGCCATGTTAAGCTTAAGGGCTGAACCCCTTTGCCCCTGGTAAGGCCCAAGGCCTAAGAGGACACAGCCCTGCCCGCAACCCTGCTGGTAGTGCTGACTGACATTTTTAAATAGGCTTTAATTAGGAACTCTGCCAAGATCATTATGCACTTCATTTTTATGAAGCTCTGGGAGATAAGGATAATAATACTTGTTTTATAATAAATAAAATGTGATGTAGTAAGATTAATTAACTTGTCCAATCACAGAAAGGAGACCGTGCTGTGAGCCCAGATCTGTAGGAACTAGGCAGAAAAATGAAGGTATATGAGAAGAATTTTAGCTTTTTAATTACAAACTCAATTGAATTATCGGAAACTGCTCTGAGAATTGGCAGTGAGTACACAAAATAGTAACAAGAATGAGAACGGGAATCCGTAGATTTTTGTTTGTTCAGAGGACATACATTTAATTTTTATTTCTGAGGTCTACTGTCATTTAGCTGCTTTCTGTCTTAATTTTTTTTTTTTTTTTTTTTTTTTTTTTTTTTTAGGGAGAGAGAGAGAGATTAAAGTCCTAAGTAAATAAACCACCAATTCTGAGTTCTTGCATAATCTTGACCTTTTAGCTGCCATGAACCAAAGTGTGATGGCGAGGACAGGGACACATGTCACCTCTGCCTTCCCCTTGTTGACAATTTGGCCTAGACATCACATTCATGGAAAGCCAGTGGCCCTGGTGCTTAGCCCATCCCCCATGACTCTTCCCACACACTAGCCCTGTCTGTGCTTTATTTATCTACTATGATGGTCAAGTTGACCCCAAATGAATCTCAAAATAATTCAACAA